GCGGCCGCCAGGCTTCCTCGTGCCAGCCCACAATCACAAATAGTCAAAAACCAGCGCCAACGAGCCAGGGGGGGGGGCGTGCGGCCGCCAGGCGTCCATGGGCGGGACCGGGGGTGGGGGGGGGGGCAAGCGCAATCGCAAGTAATCAGAAACCAGCGCCAGCGAGCCAGGGGGGTCGCGGCCACCAGGCTTCCTTGCGCGGGCCCGTAATCGCAAACAATCAGAAACTAGCGCCAACGAGCCATGGGGGGGCGCGCGGCCGCCAGGCGTCCTTGGGCGAAACCTGGCGGGGCAAGCGCACTCGCAAATAATCAGAAACCAGCGCCAGCGAGCCAGGGGGGCCGCGGCCGCCAGTAGGAGGAGTCGGCTTGCAGGGGGGGGCGGGCGCGGGGGGGGCGCCAACGACCGCGCCGATTCCATCGCGGCCCGCTGCCCCTTTCCGGGACTCTCAGGAATCCTCCGGGCCCCGTCGGCCTCGCAGTCGGCGCCGGCGTCGCGTCGCCCGCGAGCGCCGGCCGGCGGGCGGGCCGACCTTGTTGCGCATGTTTGGCGCGAGAGACCCGCGCGGGCCTCGCGCTGTGCTCGCGCCCCAGGGCGACGGCCCAGGCCCTTGACCCTCCCGCGCTGACGCGATGGCCTCGCGCGCGGCGCAGGAGCGTGTGCCGCCGACCGTTCGGTTCGGTTCCGCGCGCTTCTCATGCGAGAACGCAAAGCCCCCACGCTGCTCTTGCGCGCTGAGCAATGCGATGCAGTTGCAACGGGCGCGCGTTCAATTGGAAACCGCAACGCAAGTTTCCATTCCCGCGCGCGGGGCGGGGTACGAACTTACAGATGCGCCGACGGTCGAAAGCTCGCGCGCGCGCGCCCGCGCCTGCCATGTTGGGCGTGGGCACTGGGCCCAAAAATCTGCGGCTCGGCCGCCCGATGCGCCCCAAAAATCGCTCCGCCCCCCCCCCCGCCCCCCTCCCCCTCAGAACTCTTCCGCGCTCCTGGAAAAGCCATGCCGCCGAGGCGGGAGCTCGGGCCGCGGCCTGATGGCCCCCGGGGCACAGGGGAATCAAAGGAATTAGAGCGGAATCAGTGCAGAATCAAAACAGAATCGGCACAACTGCGACCCTTGATTCTAGCGGAATCAAAAGAATCAGCAAGGAATCGATGCGGAATCAAAGGAGGAATCGGCGATGGAAGAAGAATCGGCCAGAACGGGGAAGTAGGCCAGAATCGGTGCCAGAACCCATGGAGAGAGGCTTGTTTTTTTCCCGCGAGCTCATTGCGGCGGGCCCGCGGCGCCGGCGCGCCGCGCGACTTCGCTGCTTCAGCGGGGCGCGCAGTCGGCGTTCAGAGTGAACATGTTGTTTTCAGGGCGATATCCTGGCGGCGCGCTGGCGCATTGCGCATTTGCGTATTCCTGGCGGGCTGTTTGAGGGCGACCCGGCAGCGTCGGCCGAATGGCCCGCAAGTGCCGCGCGGCCGATCGCGCGCCCCATGCGGTCACGTCGACCGCCGTGCGCCGCGACGGCCGCGCGCCCCGGACCGCGCCATTGCCGCGTTGGATTGGACGGCGCAGCGCCCGTCCTCCAAAAGTCGTCGCACGCATATCGCGCGTGTCGAGCCAGCAGCAATCGCTCCTAGCAGCAGCCTTGACAGGCGCCCCATGCCCGTTGTCGCCCGGTTCCGATCCAAATCGTAGTTTCTTAGGATGCGCTTGCGCGAGTGTGAGCGCGCGGGCAAGCAACGCGTGCGCGCTTGGCGCAGCCTGGGAAATGCAACATGGAGCCCCCCGGGGGCGCCGGGCGCCGGCGACGCCTCCGCCCGCCTCCCGCGCGCCCGACCCCCCCCGCAAGCCGACTCCTCCTAGCCGCCAGGCGCGCTTGGGCGGGCCTTGGAAAGGCAACGCACAATCGCAAATATTCCGAAACCAGCGCCAGCGAGCCAGGGGGCACGCGCGGCCGCCAGGCGTCCTTGGACGGGCCCTGGAAAGGCGAAACACAGTTGCAAAACATATAAAAAAGCCAACGAGCCAGGGGTGGCGCGGCCGCCAGGCGTCTTTGGGCGGGCTCTCGAAGGGCGAAGCACAATCGCAAATATTCCGAAGCCGCGCCAACGAGCCAGGGGGGGCGCGCGGCCGCCAGGCGTCCTTGGACGGGGCCGGGGCGGCAAGCACACTCGAAAATAATCAGATACGGGCGCCGGCGAGCCAGGGGGCGTCGCGGCCGCCAGGCGTCTTTGGGCGAGCACTGGAAAGGCGAAACACACTCGCAAATATTCCGAAACCAGCGTCAGCGAGCCAGGGGGCACGCGCGGCCGCCAGGCGTCCTTGGACGGGGCCCGGGGGGGGCAAGCACAATCGCAAATAATCGGAAACCAGCGCCAACGAGCGAGGGGGGTCGCGGCCGTCAGGCGTCTTTGGGCGGCCCCTGGATATGCGAAACACAATCGCAAATAATCGGGGGCCAGCGCCAGCGAGCCGGGGGGGGCGCGGCCGACAGGCGTCCTTGGACGAGGCCTGGGGGGAGGCAAACACAATCGCAAATAATCAGAAACCAGCGCCAGCGAGCCAGGGGGGTCGCGGCCGCCAGGCTTCCTTGCGCGGGCTCACAGTCGCAAATGATCCGAAACCAGCGCCATGGAGCCAGGGGGGGCGCGCGGCCGCCAGGCGCCCTTGGACAGGGCCTGGGGGGAGCAAGCACACCCGCGAATGATCAAAAACCAGCGCCAGCGAGCGAGGGTGGTCGCGGCCGCCAGGCGTCCTTGGGCGGGCCCTGGAAAGGCAAAACGCAATCGCAAATAATCAGAAACCAGCGCCAGCGAGCCATGCGGTGCGCGCGGCCGCCGGGCGTCTTTGGGCGGGCCCTGGAAAGGCGAAACACAATCGCAAATAATCAGAAACGGGCGCCGGCGAGCCAGGGGTTGCGCGGCCGCCAGGCGTCTTTGGGCGGGCCCTCGAAAGGCGAAGCGCAGTCGCAAGTATTCCGGAACCGGCGCCAATGAGCCAGGGGGGGCGCGCGGCCGCCAGGCGCCCTTGGACGGGGATGGGGGCGGGGCAAGCACAATCGACAAGAATCGGGAACCAGCGCCCGCGAGCCAGGGGGCGCGCGCGGCCGCCAGGCGCTCTTGGACGGGGCCTGGGGGATGCAAGCGCAACCGCAAATAATCAGAAACCAGCGCCAACGAGCGAGGGGGGTCGCGGCCGTCAGGCGTCTTTTGGGCGGGCCCTGGAAAGGCGAAACATAATCGCAAATAATCGGGGAGCAGCGCCAGCGAGCCAGGGAGGGGGCGCGTGGCCGACAGGCGTCCTTGGACGGGGCCTGGGGGGAGGCAAACACAATCGCAAATAAGCAGAAACCAGCGCCAGCGAGCCAAGGGGGTCGCGGCCGCCAGGCTTCCTTGCGCGGGCTCACGATCGCAAGTGATCCGAAACCAGCGCCAACGAGCCAGGGGGGGCGCGCGGCCGCCAGGCGTCCTTGGACGGGACCCAGGGGGGGCAAGCACAGTCGCAAATAATGTAAAACCAGCGCCAGCGAGCCAGGGTGGTCGCGGCCGCCAGGCGTCCTTGGGCGGGCCTTGGAAAGGCAAAGCGCAATCGCAAATCATCGGGAACCAGCGCCAGCGAGCCATGCGGTGCGCGCGGCCGCCAGGCGTCTTCGGGCGGGCCCTGGAAAGGCGAAACACAATCGCAAATAATCAGAAACCAGCGCGAACGAGCCAGGGGTGGCGCGGCCGCCAAGCGTTTTTGGGCGGGCTCTCGAACGGCGACGCGCAATCGCAAATTTTACGCGGGCCAAAGGTCGGCGCCGCCGCCTGGCGTCCTGCGCGCGCCCCTGCGCGGCCAATCGCAATCGCAAATAAGCAAAAACCGACGCGGGCCAGAGGTCGACGCCGCCACCTGGCGTCTTGGGGCGCGCCCTGGCCCAGCCAATCGCAACCGCGCATAGGCAAAAACCAACGCGGGCCGGAGGTCGGCGCCACTTGGGCGAGCCAGAGGTCGGCGTCTCCGTTGTGCGTCCGCGCGCCCTGCGCTGCCACGCACAATGGCACGCGAGCAAAAACCAACGGACGCGCCACGGCATTGAGAGCGCCGGCCGGCTAAGAAACTGCCCCGGAATTCAGCCCCTATTTTCTTATTTCTTCCGCTCCCCAGCTCAGCCCCAAAATTTCTTATTGCATGGTTGTCTTAATCTTGACCGGGGGCGTATTGCATCCAATTTGGTGAACTACTCGAGTGCGCATGGAGAGCGAACAGACCCAATGTTGAGGGTCATGCTGGCAATCATTTCGGGTCCCATATTTTGGGTCCGCTGGTAGGCATGTCCGGCCCCACGGCCATCAAACTATCAGCGAAAAACATGCCATCGAGAGCTTTGTGGGGAGCACTCTTCGAAACAACACGGCGTCCACTCCATACGTTTCTTAGTCTTTGTATCTTTCAGGCAGGATGCGTACTTGGAAAGCCTTCAGGCAGGATGCGTATTTGGAGAGCCTTACAACACGCTGACAGCCTTCAGGCAGGATGCGTACTTGGACACCGTAAGCTTTAATGATTCTGTATGCAAGCGTTGAGCCCCCATGCCGTTATTGGTTCAACCGTTGCAGGGACAACGGAAGCAGCTGTCTAAGTGTTCAATGCCGAGCCAGCAAATCGGAGCGAACGACGAAGTGAGGGAACATATTCGCCGCACCAGCAAAAGTTAGAACAAATACCGTCTCGAGGACTTGCAAGCCAAGGGCTGTGGTTTGGTGGCGGCGTCGCCATCACCATCGCCATCGACTTGCGCGCCATCTCTTCTTATGACCACGCCCTTCTGAGCAGCCTTCGGCCGAGGGAGTGCGCGGAACCGCTCGGCGCCATAGGCGGCCGCGCGCCATCCTTTTGCCCATCTGCGACCCGCTTCGGCGCTGGTTGGTGGCCAGGAGAGATACGCGAGGGATGCGTCCAGGAGTCGGAGGCGCAGCTGGCGGCCTCGCGGGTGGCGCGTCACTGCTCGCGCACGTCCACCGCCATGGGCTTCTTCGTCGTGCTCGCCCTTGCTCGTGTGGGGCCGCCTGCCAAGGGATGGCGCGACGCTCCTTGGCCCCCCTGTCGGCGGCGGCCTGCGGCTCGGTCGGCTCGTGCCGTACAGAGCCGCCCTGGCCCTCGTCGCGCCCAGTGGTGCGCCGATATCTGTGCTTACGCGCGGTCGCGGAGTTGATTCGCCACCATTTTTTACCGCTTATACCACCGCCGTCATTGTCGACATCTGCACCGTTGGCTGCCTCCCCATCCACACCCGCGCGTGCATCGCTAAGCGCCCTGGTCTACTGCCCCTGCGGACGGACATCGGCTGCGTCGACTGCTGTATCAATGTCTACGTCGCCAGCTGCGCCGTCAAGCTGTTTGACCAGCGATCCGATCCATGTGCGGATGGTTACGTCAACATCTACACCGACACATGTTCAGGCTCTGACCCCTCCAGGACTTTGGCGTGTGTCCGATAGCAACGCCGAATGAGACGCCGACATCATGGGCAAGAGCCTTACCGATGTCCGACCATCCGCCTCAAGAACACACTGACTCAAAAGCTTGGCAGTGACAAGCGTCGATTGCTGCCCCGATGACTGCGTATGCCGTCGCAGCGGCCTCGAATGTTACTCCGCATTGCTCACCGACTGGTGCGCCGACTCATGCGTCGCCAGATGCGCGGGCGCCAGGTGCGCGGGCAGCATCTTTCACCCCTGCTCCGACAGCCGAGCCGATAGGTCCATTGCATCAAGAGGCGTCCCGAACGAATTCTGGACGTTCCGACGGGACACTTGCCGCCGAGTTCGCATGTGATGTGGACCATTTTTGATAGCACATTTCGATCGCCAATTCAAGGTGGGGCAGAACCGTTGCCCCGCATTCCGACGAGCGCGAAACCTCGGACAGCGTATTGCCGCCAGTTTTGAAGACAATTCCATCAAGGTGCCCTGATGCATGGGTGCTGGTCGTGCGCGGAGCCCACCCCCCCGCCCTCACGCTGGTTCCACGGCCAGAATTCGACCTTCTATCACAAGAGGACCTCAGTCGACACAGCTTTGTAGGGAACAACGATCCAGGAGGATGCACGAGGGAGAGCGGCAGGAGGACACGCTCTTTCAGGTCGGGCTTGCCTGTTTGCGCCATACTTCTGCTTCTGATGGTTTTGACATGTGCGTCGTGCATGCCCGACACCCAGAGCACGTTTTAATCTTACATTCGAACACTCACATACTTCTTGTTGTTGATGCACTCCCAGGGATCGTGCCCCAATATAATGTATGTGTGCGGAGTTTAACCTAGAGGAGGCCCAATAAAGCTTCTTGGTATAAGGTCCTCACATTTCAACATGTCTAGGTCTCACGGTGATCGTGGGCCCACCATGCTTCAATGCTGTTTTCAAGTGTGAGGGTTGACGGGTAATCCAAACCGTGAGTAGTTTTTCGCTTCACCGTGAGTGGGTTTTCGTTTAACCGTGAGTGATTTAGTGCACGCTGTGAGCCCACGCTGTGGTGAGCCCACGCTGTGGTGAGCCCACGCTGTGGTGAGCCCACGCTGTGGTGAGCCCACGCTGTGGTGAGCCCACGCTGTGAGTGCACGCTGTGAGCCCACGCTGTGAGTGCACGCTTTGGTGAGCCCACGCTGTGAGCCCACGCCGTGAGTGCACGCTTTGGTGAGCCCACGCCGTGAGCCCACGCTGTGAGCCCACGCTGTGAGCCCACGCTGTGAGCCCACGCTGTGAGCCCACGCTGTGAGCCCACGCTGTGGGCCCACGCTGTGAGCCCACGCTGTGAGCCCACGCTGTGAGCCCACGCTGTGAGCCCACGCTGTGGTGAGTGCACGCTGTGAGTGCACGCTGTGGTGAGTGCACGCTGTGAATGCACGCTGTGGTGAGTGCACGCTGTGAGTGCACGCTGTGTTGAGTGCACGCTGTGGTGAGTGCACGCTGTGGTGAGTGCACGCTGTGGTGAGTGCACGCTGCGAGTGCGCGCTGTGAGTGCACGCTGTGAGTGCACGTCGTGAGTGCACGCTGTGAGTGCACGCTGTGAGTGCACGCTGTGAGTGCACGCCGTGAGTGCACGCTGTGAGCGCACGCTGTGAGCGCACGCTGCGCGCCACCCGGTGAGAAAGACCGTGAGCTCACGCTGTGAGTGCACGCTGTGGGCCCGACGGAATTTCGAATTGCCTACGCGTTGGATTTCCCCGCGCGGTCGATTTCCCCTGGTTTGTGTGTGTGTGGGTGTGTGCGTTTGCGTGTGGTGGCGGTGGTGGGAGTGGTGGTGGCTGTGATTGTGGTGGTGGTGGCGTTGGTGGTGGCGGTATCATTGGCGGTGGTGGTGGTTGTGGTGGTGGGGTGGTGGTATGTGTGTGTGTACGTGTGTGTGTGTGTGCGTGTGTGTCGGGTGTTGTGCGGAGTGCGGCGCTCGGTGTGCGGTAGGCGGTGTGTTGTGTATGGTTTGTGGTGTGTGGCATGTGGCGTGTGGCGTGTGGCGTGTAGCGTGTGTTGTGTTGTGTGTCGTGTGTTGCGTGTGGTGCATTGCGTGAGGTGTGTGCCATGTGGTGTTTTGCGTGTGGTGTGTTACGTGAAGTGTGTATGTGTGTGGTGTGTGGTGTGTGGCGTGTGGCGTGTGGTGGGTTGACGCCACATGCAACGCCACCACGCACACAAACGCACGCACACACACCATTGAGGAAATCGACCGCGCGGAAAAATCCAGCGCGCAAGGCATTCGAAATTCCGCTGGCCCCACAGCGTGCACTCACAGCGTGAGATCGCAGTCTTTCTCACCGGGTGGCGCGCAGCGTGCGCTCACAGCGTGCGCTCACAGCGTGCCCTCACAGCGTGCACTCACAGCGTGCCCTCACAGCGTGCACTCACTCGGCCTACGCTGCTGCGCGTGCCCGCCGCGGTGAGCCCATGCTGTGGTGAGTGCACGCTGTGAGTGCACGCTGTGAGAGCACGTTGTAAGTGCACATGGCGACTGCACGCTGTGAGTGCCCTCCATGAGCGCACGCTGTGAGTGCACGCTGTGAGTGCACGCTGTGAGTTCACGTTCTGAGTGCACGCTGCGAGCGCACGCTGTGAGTGCGCGCTGTGAGCGCACGCTGTGCGTGCTCGCTGTGGGCGCGCTCACAGCAGCGCGCACTCACAGCGTGCACTCACAGAGTGGTTGGCCCACGCTGCTGTGCGTGCCCGCCGTGGTGAGCCCACGCGTGCACTCACAGCGTGCACTCGCAGCGTGCACTCACAGCGTGGGCTCACCACGGCGGGCACGCACAGCGTGGGCTCACAGCGTGGGCTCACAGCGTGGGCTCACAGCGTGGGCTCACGGCGTGGGCTCACAGCGTGCACTCACCGCGTGCACTCACAGCGTGGGCTCACCACGGCGGGCCTGCACAGCGTTGGCTCACAGCGTGGGCTCAGCGTGGGCTCACAGCGTGGGCTCACAGCGTGGGCTCACAGCGGGCACTCACCGCGTGCACTCACAGCGTGGGCTCACCACGGCGGGCACGCACAGCGTGGGCTCACAGCGTGGGCTCACAGCGTGGGCTCACAGCGTGCACTCGCAGCGTGCACTCACAGCGTGCACTCACAGCGTGCACTCAATCACTCACGGTTAAGCGCAACGCTCCTCACGGTTAAGATCTATTCTCGTGGGGGGGCATTTTTTGGACGTTTCCCATATGTATAAGGGTCAGACGCTCCAAAGGAAGAACGGGCCCAGGCAGATGTTCCCGAATCAGTTGTTTCCAAAATCCGTGTTCCTCCGATTGTTTTCTTTCGCATCTCAGCCCCGCCGCCGTTCACCAGAGGATGAGGAGCTCGAAGATATCAGAAATACCTCACGTCACATAGTCTTAAATTTCGCCCTTACCTCCCGCCTCAAGCCACCGCGCACCGAACCCTTGCCCCTAAGGCAATCTCCGCCCCACGCCCCGCGAAGGACAGCCCCTGGTCCCACCTCGCCGCGGGATCTCCCGCCCAGCTCGAGATACGTGCTGCGGGCTCCGCGCCGCAGGCTTCGCCACCGCCGCTGGTCTGCCGCACCGCCGCTGCCGCGGCGCAGGCTTCGGTCCCTAGCGACTCGCCCGCGCCGCCGCCGGCGGCGGCCGCGCAGGCGCGGGGTCGCGCCTCTCTGGGTAGGCCAAGGACTCCCACCAAGAGCTGGCGTATCCCAGAGAGTGTTCCCCCAGGGCCCACCTCGGGACGCGCAGGGTTTGGCTTTCGGCGGGCACTGCGGCCAGGACCGTGACGCCTCACTGGCGGTTCGCCGCCCTGGATTCACGTTTGGCCCGCCCAAGCCTCGCTCTGCCTGCCTTTGCGCCCGCTGTCTCTTGTCTCTCCGGTCTCTGGCGTGCTCGGACGTCGCTCGGCGGCCCTCCGAGGGGGCCAGGGCGAAAAGGTTGCGACCTTCTGTGAAGGCGGGCGGCTTCTTAGAAGGAGTCGGCACGCTCCTAGAAGGCCCTTTACATGGACCCCCTCCTCGCCATGTTATCGCAGAGCCAAATCATTCATCGGAGTTCGATGTGTTCGGAGGTGTGGTCGTCGCCGTCAGGTCTCTGACTGTGTATGTACTGACGCGTGCTCGCAGTCATCTCACCTGCTTGGGCGCCCTACGCCCGTTCTCAGTAGTTCGGCTGCAGCCTGCATGATCGTTCTATGCCATGTCTCGTTTCCGCCGTTGATAACATGGAGGAGGAGGAGGAAGCTGAGGAGGATTTGGAGGAGCAATTGGAGGAGGACGAGGTGGACGAGGCTGTGAAGGATCAGAGCCAGGTTTCCCGGCTGCCAACTGGCATTCGTGTGGTGAGCTCTGGCCGCCGCACCGCGTGCTTAGCAGCAGGCCAGGGAGCCTCTTCGACATTCTCACCACCGCCATCACCGGAGACGCCACGTAGCGGCCGCATGGTAGGAATGCAGATCGGCAGACAGAAGGCCTAATTTTCACCGAGAACGCCCCGACACGATCACGTGATAGGAATGTGGGTCGATACATTGACTGCTTCGTTTTGTTCCAGGTCTAAGCTGCTCGCAGTAACCCTCGGGCATGCACTCTTTTTTCCCAAAATCGGGCCGACGTGATCGGGCGCTAATCCGACCCTGGGTGACAGCGAACGTACAGAGCAGCGGAGCAGATGAGGAATGCAAAGCCCACTAGAGGGTACCACTCGTTGAAAACGGAGCCGATCGTGGCCCAACAACCTAGGCAACGTGGAACATGCAGGAAGTGGCCGACCTTGCGGAAACGCGCAGCTGATGCCGTAGGGAGCGTGTGTCAGCATCCCAGTGGCCGCGTGTGTGTGGACGGTCAGTCGGCGTCGTGTCCCAGGGTGGAACACACAGACACACACACACACACTTTTTACTTCCCGGCCAGTTGATCCAACGTAGCGAGCTGACGGGTGGGCACACCTCGAGCAATTACCACCGAACTTCTGCTTGTGGATGGTCAGGGCGTGACTGACGCGTGCAAAGGAAGAGAGGGCCGAAAGCAGTGCACGTGGAAGCTGCCGAAGCTATGCAGGTCGGAGTGAGAAACTACACGTAAAATGCAGGAGAGCCCCAGAAGGCACCATCAAATGCGACGCGCGGAGAGCAGGGGCGTTGTCTTTATGTGCACGCACACCTCCTTGGATACGCTGGGCAGGAGCGGCGGACCGCCATGTCAGGGTGGGGCCTGACGGCCAACTAAGCGTGAGACGCGATGTCCTAGGGTAGCAGGCGGCCTGCAGAGTCGAAGGGGGCCGGCGGGAGGCAAAGCTCCTAAGGGGGAGTGGGCGCCGGCGACGGCTGCGCGCGGCGGTCGTCTGTGGCGGGCTCTTGTGCGAGCATGTTGTCTTCCTGGTATGCCACGCGCACGCGCACGCACGCGCACGCAATCGCACACGCACGCGCGCACATATGAAGCACACGCACACACACACACACACACACGCACACACGCACACGCACACGTACACACGCACACACACGCACACACTGTCCAGGTCATGGCCCTATCCAGATGTATTATCGTAAGGTCATCGAGGCTTGGATTTCTCGAACAGATGGTAATTCAGCATTGCAGGCTCGGTTGAACCGCCACTGGCGAGCTGGACCGAAGAGCGACGTTCCTTGGCAGGGCTTGCCGCCGACTGCAGGAGTTGCAAGCGCGCTCCCGAGACTACTGCGCATCGTGTTTGGCAGTGCGTGTGCAAAGACAGGAGAACGTGCCCTGATATAGCGGACACACAGCACCTCCTGCATACCGCCATCCACGAGGCCAATATTTTCCAATTCTTTCGGGTGCGCGGGCTCCTTCCTACCTCGTGGTTCCGTTTGCCCGCTACCCCAGATTTTCGGTTGTTCGTGAAATTCGCTCTCCACGGCCCCTTGTTCCAAGTATTTTCCCTGGGGTTTGTACGGCGTCGACGGGTCGGGGGGTCAGTTTGCCAAGCTTCTTGTTTTAAGGAGAGTTGTTTTTTTTCTCGTTTGTGCGCATGGTCCCTGGGAACGATGTCGATTGGAATTGTGCTGTCGCACGTGTGGTAAACCCTCGGCAGGGGAACTGTCCCACGCGCAGAGCTTGCGGCGATTGTGGAGTGCGCGCGTCACGCTGAGCCAGCCCAATATCTGCACGTGGTGACCGATCGCGTTTATATTCTGAAGACGAATGCGGGAGGCAGGGCTCACTCGTCCAAGCTGTCCAACAGCGATCTATGGTGGGAGCTGTGGGAGTGGCCCCAGTCTCGCTCTGCCCACGTCTTCCTGTCGCATGTCCCTTCTCACATCCTTGAGGATGCCCAGAAGCAGGAATGGTTCGCTGACTCCGTTTCTAGGGGCCATGCCATCCTGAATGCGCTAGCTGACAGATTGGCCGACGATCGCGCGGCCGAGGTTCAGGTGGCACTTGGCGTTGTTCGGGGTCACGACGCCGTGGTTTCGCAAGCTTGCCAGGTTTTGAAGCGTCTCTGCCTTTATCATTGTTGAATGTGCGAATTTGCGTGCTGAGATGGGCAGGCGCCTTCAGAAGCAGCCTGTCGACTTTGCCTTCGGGCGTCGAAGGTGGACTGCCGAGGCCATCTTTCTTCGTCTCGCAGCGAGCGACACGCGACGCGCGCGCGCACGCGCGCGCGCGCACTCGCGCGCAAACGTTCACGCCCACGCGCACGCGCGCGCACCAACGCTCCCGCACATGCGCGCGCGCCCGCGCACTTTTTGCGTCGCAGCGCGGCAGCGGCAGTCCGCGCGCGCCCAGACAACCTGGGCCACCGCATTGCGATTCCCCGCGTGCAAGAGGGGGGAAGACCACGGGCGACCGCGGAGAGCGGATGCAAAGGATAGTGGGCGCACTCGCGCAGGGGGCCGCGGGGGGGCGCGCGGGGTGGCCGGGCCAGCGGGCCGACCCTGGCAGAAGGCGCTGGGCGGCGTGGCGGGCGCGCCCATGGTGGGCGCCAGCGGCAGCAGTCCAGGCCGAGGCCCAGAAAGTAGGCAGCGCCGGAGCAGCAGGGCCTGGACCCCCGCGGGCCGGGGCGAGAAGCGGGGCAGAAGAAGCGGGGGCTGCGCGAAGCTGCCGCGGTGGACTGAGCGCGGGGCGGCGCGCAGAGCAGGCGGCGCAGCGCGACCGCGGCGCGGGGGGGCGGGCGCGCCGTGCAAAGGCGAAGAGGCCGGGCAAAGCGGGCCATCCAGAGAGAGCCGCGGGGCCCGGGCGGCCGCGGAACGGCGCGCGGAGGCCGCGCAAAATGCCGCGGGCGGCGGGGGGGGGCAGCAGAAAAACAGCGGCCCGATCTCAGGGCTGGCGCGCGCGTCGCGGCCGCGATCAGGGCGGCGCCCAGCCGGGGCGGGGGCGGGGCGAAGGCCCCCGGCAGGCAGCCGGGCGGCAGAGCGGGGGGGGGCGCGGAGGCGGCGCCCGCCAATGTGGGGCGGCAGTGAGCTGCCGGGCAGGCGCCGCCAGCCGATGGCACGGGGGCGGACTGGCTGGGCCAACGGCCAGCGGCGCGGCGCACGCGCCAAACGGGCCAGGGCCAGCGCGGCCCAAGGCAGAGCTCGCGTCGGGGCGCGCCCAGCAGCGGGCCGATGGGGGGGGGCGCGCCACCTGGGGCGGCCGGCGCGCTCCGCGGCCCGCGGCGAACCCTGAGCGGGGATCGCTGGGGCGCAGGAAGGGCAGGTTGGGGTTCGCGAAAAGAGGCGCCTTGGAGGGCGATGGGGAGCTCGGGGCGCGGGGCCCCTGGAGCTTCCTCGGGTTCGCGCTGGGGGCGCAGAAGCCCGGTGCGATCACTGACTTCGCCTCCCGCGCGCGGGGGCTGCTCCGAGCCAGGCATGCGGCCGCGCGTAGTTTCGCGCCCGTCATGCGCCGGGGGGCCCTCCCGAGGCATAGCGCCCAGGCGGCCGGGAGAGTTGGCCCCGGGATTCCCAGGGAGATCGATGGTGCCATGTCGTCGGAGAGCTCGGTGATGCCGGGTCGCCGATGATGCGCGCATTGGTGCATCCCTCGCCAGACCTCCCCCCGCGCCCCCTTCGATCTTCCTCCATTTTTGGGGGGGCGTTCCAGCCGCGGTGCCGATCCCCTTTCGCCCCCATCCGCCCCCCGCCAAATAGGCGGGTCGCCTGGGTCCGCCAGGCAGCCGCGCGCGCTGGCGGGGGGGCGGGGCGGCGCGGGCGCCTCGCCCCGCGTCGGGGCCCGCGCGCGCCCTGCGCCCACATGGTTTCGGCAGGCCCCGGGGCGGGGGCCCGATCGCGGCTTGAGCCAGGGGGGTTGGGGTCGCGCACGCGCGCACTCACGGCTTTTGAACATGCATATACAAACGCGCGCGCACACAAACGCACGCATACCCACGCATGCGCAACCACGCACATGCACACACGCGCACGCGCACGCACGCACGCACGCAGAGACTCCACGCAGAGACGCAGGGAAACACGCGCACACGCAAACTCACACAACCACGCACACACGCACTCACACACTCACGCACTCACGCACTCGCACACGCACGGGCGCACGCACGCACACGCGCACGCACAGACACACACACACACACACGCACAAGCACACGCGCACGCGCGCACGCACGCACGCACGCACGCAGGCACGCACACACACACACACACGCGCACACACAAACACGCACCCGCACA